AAGGAGGGCAAGACGGCACTCTTCGAGGCGATCACAGCCGGCCGTGGAGAGATTGTCACAACACTCCTTGACCATGGCGCCAATCCAAACCTTCCTGGGCCGAAGCACATGCTCTGGCCTGCCACGTATCAGCCGAAGTGCCTTCAGGTGCTGCTGGCTCGCGGAGCCGACTACAAGAAGACACCAGGTATCATGGAACTCGCCACGTCTATCAACAAGATCGAATCGGTGATGGTCCTTCTCAAGGCAGGAGTAGATCCCAATGCCAAGAAGGACGGCGTCTATACACCGTTGTGCTCTTCGATTCGCGACAACCGTGAAGACATCTTCCATCTTCTCCTCTCGAACGGTGCTGACCCCAACGTCCCCGCCTCCGAGTACCCATGCTTCAAATGCATCACACACAGCCGACTACACTTCTTGCCCCACCTCGTAGCCGCCGGGGGCAACCTGCATGCTCCCAAGGGTATTGCAGAGACAGCGGTGCAGCATGGCGATAGTAAGTCGGGCACATCCCAGTCAATAGGCTATCTGTACTAACGATCACAGTGGAAGCATTAACCTGGCTATTGGACAATGGGGTATCGCCCAATGACCAAGCATCCGACACGAGGGCAACGCCTCTCACGACGGCGATTAGCTTGAACAAGCCAGAGTTCGTCGAGGCCCTCTTGGCGCGAGGAGCGAACCCCAACATCCGAGGCCAAGACTGGCCGGTATGCATGGCAGTTCGACACCCGTCCATCCTCAAGGGTCTGCTACCCGCCCTCGCGCAACCCCGTGCGTTCAAGGGCGTGATGGAGATGGCTGTGTCGGCCAACAAGCTCGAGTCGGTGAAGCTGCTGCTGGCGGCCGGCGTCAGCGTCGAGGACCGCAACGGCGGCGTCTTCAGCCCGCTGACGACGGCGATCCGCGAGCGCCACAAGGACATCGTGCAGTACCTCCTGGACGAGGCGGGCGCGGACCCGAACTCGCCCGGCGAGCACCTGCCCATCGTCAAGGCGCTGCGCCGCTACGAGCCGCCCGACACCGAGGTCATCGAGATGCTGCTGCGCAAGGGCGCGGACCCGAACAAGGTCTACCGCGGGCACAGCGCCATCATCCAGGCCGTCGAGATGGGCGACGCCCTCATCCTGCGCCTGCTCATTGAGAAGTGGGGCGTCGACCTTGACGCCGTCGACGATGGTGGACGCACCCCCGTGGAGATCGCCGAGATGCGCGGGTGGGACGAGGGCAGGGAGATCCTGGTCAGGGGCAAGAAGGCCGTGTGACTATCTACGCGGCCCGCACTCGCGGGTCCGGTAAAGGAGATACTGGAGATCAGGGACGGGTTCTGGACGGCGCGCGCGCCGGCCAGGAACGGACCGTGACATCTTCTAGGGGACGTGTTTTACCAACTACGTACGACGGTGCGATTTTCTTTTGTCGTAGGGGAAAAGATGGCGTCAAATCTAGGAACCGCAGGGGGGCGTGTGGGCGAACAAGGGGTTGAATCTACAACGATTGTTTTTCTTATGTCGACGGGATACCTATCTTCAAACTACCTAACTACTACTACACTGTATTGTCTTACAGAGCATAATAATTTCTTTACTATCTGAGACTCCATTCAAGGAGGAATTTCAAAAAGGAACTCACTTCCCCCCTCAACAACTACCGTCGTGTAATGTGCTCATCTGTTTGCCACCCATCGCTTTTTTCGTTGCGGAGGAGAAGAAGAAAAAAAATTTAGTTTGTTGTAACACGTCGGTAACCGGCGCCGTCACGTAGAGCAAACACCACGCACAGCTGTACGAAGCTCGGTTAGGCAATCACTTCCGGCATCAAATCAGTCCCAAGTACCGCTACCCGCAGCTGGACGAACCGACGAACCCGCCTCATTTGCGTCCGCAAACGCCCTAACCTGACATAAGGAAGTACAAGTCAACGGGGGCTCTTGGCACTGGGACCCCTAACCCGGCCCGGGCAGGGGACAGGGGTCCTGCGGCTGCAGCCAGGATGCAGATCAAGGTCTATGCTCTGCAGACGCTTTGACGTTCCGTGATATTGCGGAGGGCCGGTGAAACGGAGCCAGCTGCCAGGGTGTACCGGGGTTAGGCTTTTTGACAGGCCCCGGGATCCTTACGTTAGCTAGCACGAAAAGTTCTGGCTCTTTTGGCGTCGACTATTTCTGCGCGTACGTATGTGCATGTACGTATGCATGTGACGCCTCACTAGGCAGCGACTGATCCAGCTGTAACGGCGATTTAGGACGTGGACATGTTCTATTGGGTTCGGTGATGGCCATGGCGGCGGTATGTGGCGTTCGGGGTTTGGTTGGGGATGGATCAGACGTTCGGGATACTATCTACTAAGTAGTTATTGAGATACGATAACGTATGATCTGATTGATTGCCTCAACGCTGGCACTATAAACCCTTCCAGTATATGGAAAAACCCCGACTCGCCCCGTACGATACATCGCTGTTTCTATGTACCGGCAGGCAGCGCAATGTATGCAAGTCCGGGTCGAGGTCATGCAGGTAGGTAATGTTGTGCAGCTTGTCAGGGCTAGATTGGGAAGTTCGATCCTGAACACTTCAATACCGCAAGATTTGCCGGCTGCTTCGCATGACATCTTTCTTTCTATCTTCTTTCTTTTTTCTTTCTCTTTTTCCCGATGCAAGTCCCCCATAGCTGCTGAACTATTTGCTCGGCGGCTTGACTGTGGGCTAGCCCTCGCAGGATGACATTTGAAGTCGAACAAGTCAATCATAACTGAATGAAACCAGCAAGGGTGGACTGTGGCAAGCACTAGATCTAGATCTTTCCAATCTAGCTGGAGGAACTTAGCAGAAAACCGATGCGCTGGCATTTCCAGGATGATCAAAGTCCGCCTCCACATTCGGGTGAACTTGTCCGATGCTCTCCGAGCCTCGTCACGAGGAGCATAGTCGGGAATTCGAATGTTCCAACTTTCCAACTTCTTCCAAAACGAAGAGCATTGCATGAAGGAGTTACATGTTTGATCATCCCGCTGCGTGTTCGGACGGTGCAGGCGAAAGGCTCGAAAAGGCTCGACCGTCCAATTGCAATTGCCAAGACATCTTTAATACTTCAAGAATCATATCCACCAGGTTAGCATTTCGTAACTACTCCGGGCTATTAATAGTTGCTGCTGTGAAATTTCATGGGTAAATATGAAGCCTGGTTGGCGTGTTCGCAGCTAGGTTGGGAATTCTGTAAGATCGGGTAACCGTGGTCACTGGGGGACTCTTCCGACTTGGGCTATTCTACTGTGCTATGTGAGTTTCGGAACCTTTCTATGAAAGTACATAACAGAGTATTGTGTGTGGATGACCTGTTAATTAGGTTGCCGTGATGGGCGTGGCTGTATATAGAAGTCCGATTGTCACGAAACAGAACCGCAGCATATAAGTAGTGCGTTGTCAAGTCCCCGACTTGACGACTCAGCAGTTACTTATATATAATAGCATCGACTTGGTAAAGACGCAACACATCAGAGGAAAACGCCAGGACTCAGAACCTTGAGACCCGAATTCAGGCTGAGTATTAAACTAGCTACGCGTCACTACCCGCGCCAGCTGTCCTTGAAGAAGATTTCTATCTAGCCCACGAGCCCAAGACGTTCTTTAGCACAGAATAGAGTAACTTCAGGGGGAACTAATTGATCAAAAAAGGCATCGTTATTCATAAAAACTAAGTATTAACAGTGACTCTCTCTGGCCCCCATTGTTAGTTCGCAACCGCTTTTTTGCCCTCACTCCCAACTTCAATATATACGAATGAAGTTTACATATATATGTGGAAAAGTTCTCTCTCTCTTGGAGAAAAGAAGGAGATCATAGACTTTAGGATACTTAGTTGATTACTAGATGAATTTAAGCCATTGCAAGCCCTCCATAAGAGCGCTTGTCACATGAATAAGCATTAAGCTGCAACGAATGTACCCTGCTAAAGTTAGGGCAGCACGGTATCCACAACTAGTTGTGTTTACTTCGCTCTCACTGCAGTCGGGGACGGCTAGGGCGGAATCGTTGAAATTAAAATTTGGTGATCTTGGGCATAATCGTATTCCGGCCGCCAGTTGCGTAGCATCAACTTACCTTTTATCACTAGTATTCTATCTCTACTTTAAATGAGTATTGTTTAAGTATAGGGGGTCCTTCTCCGCGAATGTAACTTCAGCACCACACTTAGAAGTGGCTCTATTGACAACTGAAAAAAAATGTTATTGTCACCGACTATTTAGATGTTATACGTACACGAGCTGAGAAAACCGTCGCAGTTCTTACTGCTAGTAGTTTCTGTAACGATTTGTCAAAATTGCACAAGGTTTAAGTCCTATCTAAGCTAGCAATTTTGCACTGCTGGCTTATATACCTTTTATTGTAGCACGTGCTATAAGCTGTGTTATAAAGGCTTGCATTGAGGACTTAAAAGAGTGGTTTTCTATTTATATAATAGTTAACTATAGAGTTAAGGTGGCCTGTGTAGATTTATTCTCTCCGCCATTTGCAGGAGGGCTTGGGTAGGTTTTAATAATCTGAATAGCTTTACTTCTCTCGCTAAGTATTTCTTCTTTAGGCCAGTTTCTAAGACTTTCGCTCAGGCCTCCGACTTCCGGTCACCTCGCTTAAGGCTGTATTCAACTACGTGCGATATTGAGTATCACAGCTTTTCCAGCTGGTGTTCGTGCAATGCTCCATGCCGATACGATAAGTAGAGCAGGACTTATAGTCGAGCAGACAATGCCCAAATTCTTTATTAGCTATAAGATTCAAAAGGTAGAAAGAGGTATTAGCTCTTGAACTAATGTCAAAAACCACTCACATGCCACTAGGAAAGCTAACTAACCAAGAAGAATAAGTAGTAAAACTTGCTCGCAACGCTTTCTTCCACAGGCTTACACGATGGCGACGGAACAAGAGCCCCCGATCGCAATCAGCTCTCCATTCCCAAAATAAGAGATTCAAAAAATGTAACCGCGCAAGAACGTATGCCCACTAGCGGAATCGAACCGCTGATCTTGTCATGGCATCTAGAATGGAGGGAATTCGGTACCGTAACCCATCTACTAGTGACACGCTATACCACTTAGCCAAGCGGGCGCTAGACGGCTTTGGTTGCTTGAAGTGCCGGTGAGTTTACGATGTGATAAAATTCAAAGCCAGAGGGAGCATGCTCTAATGTGCTAGGTAGGTACTCTGGCTCTAGCTGGGGGCAATTGTCGGGACAGTGGCGGTACGCTGGTGTCGATACTGCGGAGAAAATGAAGTGAGCAACTTGACAGTCTCCATGAGGAGTGCTGTACGCTTCCTTAGTTGGGAGAAATACATTAACCTGTAGACTAGGCGCCTACACATGTTGAGGTGTAGATATCTGTTGATCACGGTCCAACTGTATCGTTAACCCAAGCCCGGTTTGCTGTTCTAGACTAGGTAGTTACGAAGTGCGTTATTGAGGTAGGCGATAGCAAAGATGTCGTGAAGAAATAATCTGCCCTGCGGTATTATCCGAAAAGAGACAAGAATGTTCGTTTTGCCTATCCGTCCTGTTGTGGACTTGTGTGACAAGTGCTCGTGTAGAGGGCTTGATATGGCTTCAATTCATCTAATAATCAACTAGGAATCATAAGGTCCATAGCCTCCTTTCCCTTCTTTGGGAGGAGGTTCCTTGGCCTATTTATACACAGAGCCCCCTTCCTATTCCTAAGCCTGTCTGTAAAGGTCTTTCTGCTGCGCCTCTGTTGTTAGGTCTCCTTGTAGGTTGGGCACTGACCCTGTGACTCCTAATAGCAAATAGCCTGGGTGCGGACTCTGCACGACGTGCGTGCTTTTTTAAGTCGTTTAGGGTAGGACTAATACGTGTGGCAACTTGATACTCAGAAGTCTATATAGAACTAAAGGCTCCATATGGTTCGAGGTATGCCTGTATAAGTATTTGACACGCTGTGATGTCGACTCCTCATCCATAGAAACTCTGATGGGTCCACATTCTCTGAATGGGGGCGTTTAGCTGTGCTATTCATTAAACTAAATATTTGACGGGTTGGTCAGCTGAGTAAGTGACGCAATGTGCCTAGTGTGAAAGGCTATGTGTACTCTCCATTCGTCAATAAGTAGATATGAAGACGATTAGATGAATGGGCTGTTATGAACGGCATATCGTATTTTCAAGACCAATTGTCATAACTGAGAATAATACAATTTAGTTTCTGTCCCCAATACCATAGAAGCGACCATGTCCGGTGATGTGTATGTTTACCTAACGCCGTTCACAGTAGTGCCGTCGCTCTCCGATGTTATAACCCAGTCGCGGACGCCTCCTTTCCAATCGCTCGTCCGTATGTCCTTGATGTACACCAATATGACCCGCACCTCCTCACCGGCAACAAAACACTCCCGGCCGCCGTCCTCGACACCACTTTGCGGTTGCCTGTTAAACGCGACCACGCCCTCGGAATCGAATGTGTTGTTTTCCAGGTGCTGATCTCTATAGTATTTTTCCTCGTCCGATCCGGGGGGGATCAGTTTGGCGGTCCCGTTTATTGTGGCGCTGATGCTGGACATGGCGCTCGTGTTGAGGTTGATGAGCATCGACGCAAGACTGGACCGGTGTTCCGGGCCGGGCGACCCCCCTCCCGAGGCGCGACGGCCTTGTGTCGGTGGGCGGTGCGATACCCCTAACAGGCTAGATCAGCATAGACCCCCCACAATGTTTCAGTACGGCGGAACCGGGGATGCTGTACAATCGTGCACTAGAAGGGAGACGTTCGGGTTGATGAGCAGGTTGTTCGTCTTCTTGGATGATGGGTTCGTGGTCATGACGATGACGGGGACAGACGAGTGCGGCGAAGACGGGAGATAGGTGTAGTTCATCAGAGACACGTGGGGTTGGTTGTCGACGCAAGTCGCGAGATGAAGCTATCGCCGGAAGCTCGTCAGTGAGGGGCACCAATCGAAGACAGCGCTCGGGGTTGTTGGGCCTTACGAATCGGGCATTTTCCAGACACTGCACGACTTCGGGCGGAAGCTCGCTGACCGTCTGTTTGTGCGTGTCGCCGGCAGAGGCCTCGTAGTTTAACGATATCTGTTCCATGGCGTGCGGCGCTGTGGCTCTGGTGCTGTACGTATGATGGTGTTACGGTTGGTAGGGTACCTACCGTATCTCGTCACCCGGGGCAGCGTACGGTAGACCAAGATAGGTATCGATAGCCCAGCCGACCTACCTCTAGTGGGGGTGTTCTGAGGCTGAAAACAGCTAGATCTATCTAGGCTGTCTACCCGTGGGCAATTTGTGGGCAATTTATGTGCTATGACGAACAATGTCTTGGCATGATCTTGGGGAAACCGCTGTCTTGTCTAGCCGCGGCTTCAACCGGCCTCGCCCGTCGCTTACTCGCGGCATCTCCGTCCCTCACCGAGAGGAAAGCACCAGCTGACCTTTCCCATGGCTTCTTCTTGCCTTCTCCTGCCTCCTCTCTAAGACGCACTTATAACGAAGAGAGACAGACGTCAATTGACCCCTTTCAGAGCGTCGATTCTGTTTTGTTTCGCGAGCGTGCCATTGTTCACCATGCGGTCAATTAAACCTCGATATCTTCGCCGGCGCGCCTTTCCCCGCTATGCATCAACTAGCGTGTCCGCTCAACCCCAGATTACCCCTATCACTTCACTGCTCATAGCAAACCGCGGAGAAATTGCCCTGCGAATTAACAAGACGGCTGAACGGCTAGGCATCCGGACCACCACTCTGTATACGGACCCGGACGCCTCAGCCCAGCATGCTGCGTGCTCGCCACATTCCATTGGCCTCGGAGCTGCCAATGGGTATCTGGACGGCGAGCGGATAGTCAGGCTGGCAAAACAGCACGGTATCCAAGCATTGCATCCCGGTTATGGATTCTTGTCCGAGAATTCCGCATTTGCAAGGAGGTGCGAGGAGGAGGGCATTGTCTTTGTCGGGCCGCCTGCCCAGGCAATGGCCGACATGGGAGACAAGGCACGGAGTAAAGAGATCATGACCAAGGCAGGGGTTCCGTGCGTTCCGGGGTACCATGGGTCTGACCAGGGAGAGATGGAATTGCTTCAACACGCCAAGGCGATCAAGTTTCCTGTTCTATTGAAGAGCGTGAAGGGTGGCGGTGGCAAAGGCATGCGTATCGTTATGGAAGAGAGCGAATTCCTGCAGCAGTTGAAGAGCGCCCGAGCCGAGGCTAGGGCCTCGTTCGGCGAAGGCGGCGAGGTTATGCTTGTGGAGAAGTATATCGTACGGCCGAGACACGTCGAAGTGCAAGTCTTCGCCGACAAGTATGGCAACTGCGTCGCTCTCGGCGAACGAGACTGCAGTGTTCAGAGGCGGCACCAGAAAATCTTGGAAGAGTCGCCGGCACCCAACCTGGATGATGTGACGAGGCTCGACCTTTGGGACAAGGCTCGAACTGCGGCTCTGGCAGTGGGCTATGTTGGAGCGGGAACTGTGGAGTTCATTCTCGATAAAGACTCGGGTGAATTTTTCTTCATGGAGATGAACACGCGTCTGCAGGTCGAACACCCTGTGAGTGAGATGGTCACCGGTACAGACTTGGTAGAGTGGCAGTTCCGAGTGGCTGCTGGCGAGAAGCTCCCATTGACGCAACAGGAGATCGTGGGTCGGATAGAAGCGAGGGGCGCCGCGATCGAGGCCCGGATATACGCCGAAAGCCCTGAAAAGGGGTTCCTGCCAGATTCTGGAAAGCTTGTTCATCTCACCACGCCGAAAACGAGCGAGGACATTCGGATAGACGCAGGATTTGTAGAAGGCGACACGGTCACGGAAGCTTACGACGGAATGATTGCGAAGCTGATTGTTCGTGGCGATGACAGGGAAACAGCGATCCGGAAGATGGAGTTGGCTCTGCAGAATTATGAGGTCGTCGGCTTGAGCACTAATATAGAGTTCTTGAAACGCCTTTGTAAGTCTCCTGCCTTTATCGAGGGCGACGTCGAGACGGGATTCATCGAGAAGTGGAAGGCGGAGCTATTTGACCCTATAACAGTCAAACCTGAGGTGTACATCCAGGCGGCCCTGGGTATTTCGGCTTCCACTCCCACCTCGGTTGAGCAACCGCATGGTGGCTCCTTGGGATTTGGCCACAATGGTGTGGAAAGGAGATTTTTCTTCAAGTCCCTGGATGCATTGAATGAGAAGGAGGGTGAAGTCGTTGAGGTTCACATATTCCAGAAGGACAACCAGCTCTTCGATGCTAAGATAACCCGGAAAGGCGAGGAGACTCAGATTATCGAGAACCTCACGTCTTCACCAGTGTCAAGTTCCGGGAAAACAACTTTGACAACGTTTTTCCCCGAGGCAAGGGTCGATACAGTCGTCGTACAAGATCCAAATAACGACAATAAGATCACCGTCTTCCAACACGGTGGTAAGACCGAGCTATCTCTTATATCCCCTGCATGGTACGAGAAGGCTCTGGGTCTCAAGGAGGCCACTGCCTCCGTGGCTGCCCCGATGCCATGCAAAATTCTGAAGAACGAGGTGAAGGAGGGTGATAAGGTTGTCAAGGGGGCGCCTCTTGTTGTGTAAGCCTTGCTGTTGTCTCCTTACCTGCAATGACTACTGACGATAGTGTAGAATTGAATCGATGAAGATGGAAACGGTTATTCGATCTCCGCAGGACGGAGTGATCAAACGGTTAGCTCACAAAGAAGGCGTAAGTAGATATACCTCCTTGGCCTGAGATATTTATCTGACATAGGTTCAAGGACAAATGCAAGGCTGGCACAGTTCTAGTCGTCTTCGAAGAAGACGCTGCTTCCGGGTAAGTGGTTTTACTACCCGGTCAAGCAAGAGAATTCTGGGAAACAGTCGCAGGAAGGGCAGGACCAATGAATTGCCCATGTACACAACTGAATAGATAGAATTTTATTGGGGCTTATCTAGTTCCCAGGCTTTCAGTAGGATGACTCATTGGCCGTAATCCGAGGGTGTGTCTCCTTGTGATCGGATATTTCTTGTATTGTCAGACTGTTGGAGAAGCTACCTGGAAGACATGAACACCATATTTAAATACGGGATAATATTCAACAATAACCCCACTGCCCTCCTTGTTTTT